TGCATATTTTGGCTGCGTTGCTTGCTAAAATAAAAATTGACTGAGAAGGAAGATGAGATTTTTTGAAGCACCGAGTTGGCGGTCCATGATATTTGCTCTGTTCAGGACCCATCAGAAGCGACTATAAAGAAAAAGGGCCATGGTGAGCACATCACTGATATGGAGGGCGCACTTTAGCAGTTGCGAGTAGAGTTAGAGGCACGAGACCGTGCTTTGCTAGGCGCACAGGAGACTAGAGATCAGTGGATGCAAGAGCAGTTCATTGTGTTGCTAGAGGCTGTTCGTGGACAGAGAGAGGTACGACACATTGGACTCTAGACAGACTTTGAGGAGCTGGGGGATGCGGAATTGTCTACTTTGAGTGTTACCGATGGCAGTGCTACTGAGGAGCCGACAAAGGTTCGAGAGGCTGTTGTTGGGGAGCCTGATCCGACAAGGTAGGGTGAGATGATAGCAGCCGTTGACACATCTGGTATCGCATTGGAGGATCCATCAACAGTGCGGACCGAGGTTTGCTACCAGTCCCCCCCTCGTAGCCTGAGATATGACGAGGGAGTTTTTGACACCCACTCTACTATTGATTATTTATTGTTTGCTTATGTGATATTTTACAACTAGGGACAATGCACTCTCTTAAGTGTGGGGTGGGGGTGTCAGAATTTGATTTTTGTGGCATGTGTTTAATTTCTAGTTATATATTTTATCAAGATCACACTCAAGGCCATTGTAATTGTATAATTGTAGTCAGCTTTTCATTGGCGTAATCCCAGGTTTTCTTTAAACCACGGTTCTTTCCCGAGGATGCCATTTTCTTGAACCGGATAGTCTTAGGTAGTTTTTCCTTCTCAAACTTTGTAAAAGAATTTGTGGACTTTGCCCGACGACGGATTGCCTAGACAGTTTTCTTGAGGGTTTAAAGTCTAAAGTAAAATACAAAAAGTTTTTTTCCCAACTGATAATGGAATTGGAAGAATTTGAGTATCTATGCTTTTTGACATATTTTATGTTGGGGCTTAGAGCTGGAGCATTTGTGTTGAGTACTTTCTTCTTGAGTCTTGTGACTATGGCTTGAGAGTATATGTGACTTTACTCTGACTCTCATCTTTTGACTCTTGTGGTGTACTTCCTATATGGATTAGTTTTATGATGACAATGCTTAGGTGCTTTAACTTGAGAGCCGTGTTCGAGCCGTGTTAAGTAAGTCATGCGCATTGTGCGAGGTGAGAAGTTTGAGTTGTACTCCATGTCATCCTGAGCTAGTCTAGAACTTGCCCCGTGTGTGAGTCGAAACGAAATGATTAAGTATCGTTAGACTAGGAGATGATATAGGCATTTCTTTGATTGACCATTGAGCCATTTTTTGTCCACCAGTGCTAATATTATTCATAGTCAACCCTTTTGAGCCTATAAACCTTTTCCTTGGCACCCACATTACAAGCTAAATTTCCCTTGTTCTTAATCAAATCTTATTCACCATTTACCTCCGAAAGCACTTAAGTCACTATATGAGTAAATAGAGAGACCGGGTAACTTTTGAGTGGAACCATAGGAAGGCCAAGAAGGCGCTTTGTGTTTAAATGAATTACTAGCTAGAAACACCAAAAATTAATGGGAGTGAAAAAAAAAGGAAACAGACATGGAAGCACACCTCCCATGTATGATCCGGGCTAGTAAGCATCTACGCGATGATATGCTTAAAGAAGAAGGGCCTAATCGTGTATTGGTTCGCGACATGATATTCACTTGGTCGTAATGAGAAGGTGTTTGAGAGTGTAGTGTATTAAAGTGCTTTGGAGGGATAGTCACTATTTTTTTTCAAATCATACCCTTCCCTTAGCCTACATTACAACCTACAAAGTTCCACTTGATCTGAGTATGTGCGAACTTAATTTAGTCAAGTCTTACACTACGGGAAAGCCTATGGTATGAACTTGGGCGGCATATGAGTTATTTTTGCGAGAGTGAGCGAATTCTTTTGATAGGAGAGTCCTTAAAATATACTGAAATTTATGTTTGAGTGTGTGGACTACTTTCTCTCTTTGCTGTGTTGGTAAGGGCACATGACTTGCGAAAGATTGGTAAAGTCCTTGGTTTTTAAGTTGGCACAAGAAGCGAGTTTTAGTTTGGGATGTATTGTAGTCAGATTTTGAGGCTAGGGTGTTAGATAGAGTCACATAATTATTGTAATTAGTCTTGGCATGACGTAAAGCTTGAGGAAAAGTATGAAGAGTGCTTATGCTAAGTTCTAAGCGTTGATATAAACCATTGTCATTGATGTGATGCTTGAGTATGTTTTGAAATGTATTTCTTGCCTAAGAGCTTAATTTTATTCGCTCGAGGACGACCAAATGTCTAAGTGTGGGGTGATGATAAATGACCAAAAGTGTATGATTTTGAGTGTACTTTCATCTCATTTGTCGTGTGAAATGCGGTTATTACATGATATTTGAAGTGAATTATACTCATTACATATTTCTTATTTGTAGGCGTGAGCTTGAATGATAATGGAGCAAAAGATATCAAGTTATTGCAAAAAGGAGAAAAAATTGAAGACTGAGAGCTCGTCTATTCTTATGTGTGGCACGAAAACGGACACGAAAAAGGAGAAAAGTGAAGGCACAAAAAAGCGAAGTGAAGCAAAGGCATGGATCGCTTCGCGAAATGGAAGAATTTTAAAAGCTGAATCCGCGTCAAAGTTCGCGCGCTGCGCGAAGTCAGATGCGGAATCCAGCTTCTCCTAGCCGAAGTAGGATTGGAAAATTCCGCCCCTTAGCAACCCTAAGTCATATAAATACATCAAAGAATGACTTTTTGAGGGTTACACAATATCTTTGAAGGCAAGAACAAGCAAGGAGCAAGACGGAAGATTCGGAAACAAGTTTTATCTTCCTTCTTCCCTTTTACTATTATTGGTGATGAATTCATATATTGTAGTTGTGTAAACAATTATTAGTAGCTTAACTCTTTATTCTAGAGTTTGATGAAACCTCTTGGAGGATAAATTTTTGTTGCATTTAATATAAATTTTCCATTGAATTTTCTCTACTTGTTCAACTATGTGATTATTGTGGTTGATTGAAGGGCCCTCAATCGACTATGCTTATTTAGTGTGTATTACTTGAAAAAGGGTACATATTTAGGTAATTGTTGAACAACATCACTCCCAACGTATATGAGGGATCAATAAAGAGGGTTCAAAGGTGGGATTAGGAATAACGAAACCTTGGTGTGATCTTAGTGATAGTGCTAGCTAGCGTAGTTCAGAAGAATACGTGTAGTAAATTGTTGTATTTGCTCGGAAGAGAATTACGACACCTAAAGTGCTCACGATCGGTAGAGAGTATCTAGGCAAATTTATAGGAGACGTAATAGAGAGGATTCCGATAAGAGGGGAAATCGTAACCGTAGACCTTTCCAATCTTGTCTATAACATTTGCTTTGTTAGTAATGAAATTATAGTTTTTTAATTACCTTGTTGTTAGTAGTAAACACTCAAATCATTATTCAATATTTTTGGAAGTTAATTACTTTAATTCTTGCGAAACTAACAGTTGTGATTAGTACATTAATTCCCTATTGGATTCGACTCCGGACTTGTAAATCGGATTATATTTGCAACGACTGCTTAGTTCTTTTTATAAGGCATAGGTCCACGTGATCAGGATCATTGCTGTTGTTGCTACCAGATCTATTGCCGATCCACCCCAATTCCGTTGAAGCCAACTTCTCCCCTCAGGGTGTTATTTTCAACCCTTTGAGATGATTGATTTGCGGGAGCGCTTGGAAAAACAAGGCCATTTACATTCTTATTATTGGAGGGGCCTTATAATGTTTGCTTCAGTAATTCCGCCATGGCCTGGTCTTGCATTGAGAGACGGCCCATGATAGCAACAAAACCTTTTGTTGCTCCCTCAAGATCCTAACAGTTTCAGCAACATTCTCGTCCTCGGCGTCTTTGGAAGTTATCTCCCGGGGGATAAAGCCCGCCATGGATCGGAGTTACTACGTCCTCCTCGTTGCGGGTGTCACTGATCGATTCCTTATGTTGAGGCAGATTCTCTTGCGCCTCAACGTTGTGTATGATGTTGACATCATTAGCTGCCTTTTTTATTTATTTTTGCAATGAAACAAACAATCACACACGATAGTAATAGATGCAAGGATCAATTCAATTACGCAGCTGTCTAAGCTCCCCGGAGGGCGCCAAACTCTTTACCCATAAAACGGTACAGTTGAATTTATAGTGTGATTTATAGACAAACGAATCGATTTGATCCCAAAAATGATAAATGAATTAAATAAAATGCAAGGCAAGTTGAAATCGAGATAAAATAGTACATAACTTAATAATTCCGGGAGCAAGGTTTACGAAGACAGCAATAAAAATAACGTTAGACAAAAATAAAATATTCTTTAGTTTGAAAATAGTGTGCAAAATAAATTTGTCAGAGTTTTCGTGTATTACTGTGATTTTTGAAGTCACTATTTATAGCTATACCTTGGGGTTAGGGACCTATAAAGAACAAGGTCATAGGAACAAACCCCTCTTAAATGACAATAATAAGAATCATTGATAGATATATAACGGCATGTCATGAATGTCAAAACCCCTCTTAAATGATAATAATAAGAATAATTGATGAATATATAACAACATGTCATGAATGCCAAAATACTATGTGACAGCCACATATTGTTTAATAATAAAAATATTTTTCATTGAATGTCATATGGTTGACAAATATTCATTTCCTCCCATCGACAATATTCCATTCGGGAACCATCCGGTGTCAACCGAAACTGTTGTCCTCTTGATTTTCACTTAGCTTCATCTTCCGCCCACTTCACGTGTCACTCTGTGATTCCAGCTTTAATGTAAAGCGATTTTACCCTATACAAGAATGTTACAAGAATCTCTTTAAGGTGGTTGTCAAATTAACATTAACAAATACAGCGAGTTCCTTTTTCTTTCGTTGTTCTTATTCCAGTACTCTGAAACATAATTCATGCATTCTCTTCGGATCATGATATTAACATCAAATGAGCATCAAACAAAAACGCTTTCCGTGCATCACTAAAATATAGCACAACACAAACAGAAATTGAAAATAAAAAGAGTCTATTAACCAGATACTAATGAAATCAAAAACATTGCACGTTTTGGCTAATCTGCCTTTTTATCTGTATGTTTTGCTCTGTTCATAGCTTGGGATTGCTTATCTTCAGCTAACTTAGTGTGAACCTCATTCCTGTCCCTGAAGTACTTCTCGAAAGCCCGTGGCAGAAACTGCGGAATCAAGAAACCAAACAGGTTGACTGAAAAGTACACCAGATTAGCCACTGCCAGCCCCTTCCCAAACCAATACCATGCGACATCCTGAAAGCAAAACAAAAATTCCAACAGGTAAGTTACTTGGATTTAGCCTCCTCTAAAATGTTAATTTTTTTTTTAAATTACGTATATATACTAATATATGTTGATGTTGACATCCTAATAACGAGAATCATGGCTCAGCTACCGCTTATATCGGGGTGATAAAATCAATCAATGTACATTAATTACCTTGAATTGTGCGTTGGCGGGCAAAGTCTTGTTGATCCACACATGTTTTATCCAATCAATTAAGACAAAGATCCTCCGAACTGTATAAAGAAGCGGAACAAGCGCTCTAACGGGAGGAGAAAAGAGGGACAATCCACTAATAATATTCTCAGTTAGAATTTGAAAAGAGAGCAAGAACAAATGAGGCGTAGCAGAGTGGACCGCATGCTCATCTCCCCTTGCAAATCCACCCAAAACATAGGCCAATGGCAAGAACAATCCAACAGTAGTGCCAGCAACCATATAAAGACGAAAAAATTTAGTGCCCTGAAATATCTCCTGAGAAGTTGAACTTCTGCCTAGAGATGGAAAGGCGAATCGTGAAAGAAGTAAAAGATATGCAGATGCAAGAGCTGGGAAAATCAGATCAAGTAAAGGTACTAAACCACTGGCAGAGAAAACCATAATGAAAGCGACTAATTGCAGCTCAATTACACGAAGTGATCCCATTACACCCACAGCTTGTTGCTGCGGATTTCGTTCTTTAATTTGCTGAGGTTTTGTCGAGGAAGATGTTGTCTCATGATCTGGCTCTGAACGAGGAGCCACAGCTAATGATACCCCTGACATTTTTAATTTCTCTATGGCTTCAATTGTCTTGTGAGATTCTAGTACTGCCTATGGAAAACGAAGTTGTATCAAATGTACCTGTCCTCCTGGAAAAAAAAAACAGAAATCAGCACTCAACTCTCTTTTTTTTTAGGAAGATACGATGAAATCAAAAAAGCAGGCCAGTGCACTAAGCTCCCGCTATGCGGGGTCCGGAGAACGGCCGGAGCACAATGGTCTATTGTAAGTTACGCCAAGGTTCCCTTCAGATGATAGGATGAAATAATAATCTATAACCGTTTAATGTTTTTTAGGTGATGGTCACATCACACACTTAAATATTATTGTAACAGAGTTTGGTTCAAGTCTCACTATCACATACGATCAAAACGGAAGTTTTTGCATGGACCGTGAAAAAAAATCAAATAAAACATAATCAAGTAATTACTTTTAATAAGTAGTACAATAGTTAAACCATTAGATGATCACACTTCAACATGTTTGAGATAATATGTGAACTTCTAACGCTGAAATCATGAATTTGTATGCCATGAAATGATGCAGCAGATGAGTCTACCAAGTCAAAATTGGCTATAGGGTTATTACACCTAAATTTGGTTTATTTAGGGAAATTGAATATGAGCCTTAACTTGGTTGGTACCCTTGATTGGAAGCTATTCAGTTGAGCCATTATACGTCCCAAGTGCTTTGGTGTATATTAGTTCAGAATCTATTGATGGATAATTAAACAAACTTGCAAACAAGAGCCTCTTTTTGGACGAAGACTTCTGTAATTTCCTCTTTTGCTATGAGAAAAAAGATGTACTATGTTACTTTTGTTTCCTGCAATGATATATATTTCTACTTAGTGCTTCAATTAAAGACAACAAAGACGAAATTAAACATCGCAGTGACACAGCATATTCCAATTCTGAATCTATAATCAAATCATAAAAATTACAGAGAAAATAAGTAATATAGCCATTACAAGTAAGGAGTACTGGATTAAACAAAAAAGATAAAAAGGAGAAAAGGGAAGTGCTGAAGCTTGAATATACCACGTAAAAAGTTAGAAAGATGATGAAACTAAACTTACAGTAGCTGGAGGAAGAAATTGCAGATGGTGATATTACTACAAAAGACAAAGACACGTACAAGTAGGGAGATTTCCTAGCCTTGATCATAATCTAGTTGCTCAGAAAACGAACACGTGTAACCATTTCTACGTGTCAAAGGGTGTACGTGGAAGTGTCTGAAAAGCATAGCAAGTACACCAGGAGCTCTTTGTTAGGCCTTTTAATTTGTTTAGTAAAAAGAGATGGTCTTACGTCGCACTTTTCGGCCTCTCTGTTTCAAAATGCTATGCTGCTCATGGCAAGATAAAATTTTGGGTTCACTGCAAATCTGGGCTTATGTGGACAGATATCTATGCGGCTGATCTACCAACTCAGTTTTGAACTTTAATATGGCGTTTTGCCTTTTCTACAAATTTCAAGCTACTCTCAATAAAACCAGTCTTTTTATATCCACACCTCCCTACAACATTAGTTAGAGAATAACTATCAAAATAAATTCTCTGCACATGTATAATTTTGTTATGCAAATATTATATTGTGGATATTCATATAATACTCTGCCGGTCGTTTTGAGTACTTATAGCACCGTTCCTTCATTTACTGCTCCTTTTGTGCTTTGTAACTGTTATGTGACTTGTCGGGTTAGTCGGTTCGGGTCCGGAGAGATTTCGAAATGAATTGAGACACTTGGTCTCAAAGTTGGGAGCTTAAGTTGAACCGGATATTGGCTTATGTGTAAACGATTCCATAATGGAGTTTTGATGGTTCCGTTAGCTCCGTTGGGTGATTTTGGACTTATAAGTGTGCCCGGATTGTGATTTGGAGGTCCGTAGTTGAATTAGGCTTGAAATAGCGAAAGTTAAAATTTTGATCGGGAGTGGAATTTATAATATCGGGGTCGGATTCCGATTTCGGAAGTTGGAGTAGGTCTGTGGTGTCATTTGTGACTGGTGTGCAAAATTTGGGGTCAATCGGCCGTGATTTGATATGTTTCAGTGCTGGTTGTAGAAATTAGAAGTTCCAAAGTTCATTAGGCTTGAATCTATGTGCGATTCGTGTTTTTGATGTTGTTTGAGGTAATTTGAGGGTTCGACTACGTTCGTATGATGTTTTGGGACATATTGGTATGTTTGGTTGAGGTCCTAGGGGCCTCGGGGTGGATTTCGGGTGGTTAACGGATTGGAAATTTGACTTGGAGTTTTGTTGAACTTTTCTGGTGTCACTAATCTTGTTTCCTTATACGCGATCGCGTGGGTAGGTCTGCGATCGCGTAGGCTAAGTTTCTCACTGATGGAATTTGCTCTACGCGTTCGCGAGTAGAGGGCTGCGATCACGTAGCTTGGAGAAGCAATGTATCACGAACGCGTGGGCTAGGCCGCGTTCGCGAAGAGGAAATGAGGTAGGAGCTAAGACCACATGTTTTGTACATCGCGAACTCATGAGGTCGTTCGCGATCGCGTAAGTCAGAGAGTCAGTGCATCACGTTCGCATGGAGTATTCCGCGTTCGCGTAAGGTTAATTTGTGGGGCAGCATAGTTGTGCTTCGCGATCGCGAGGTGTGTTCTGCGATCGCGATGAAGACTTACCTGGGCAGAATATAAGTTTCAAAAAACGAGGGTTTTGAGTTCATCACACTAAATTGATTTTGGGAACTCGGTAGAAGGCTTTTTGGAGGGATTTTCACGTGGGTGTTTGGGGTAAGTGAATCCTATCTAGTCTTGGTTAATTTCCATGATTATGCCTTTGATTCTACCATTATTTGTGATTTGGGGTGGAAAATTGGGGAAAATGAAGAAGAGTTCTTAGGCTAGATTTTTGAGGTTTTGAATGGAATTTTGATATCCGATTTGAGTAAATTTGGTGTGATTAGACTTGTGGTTGAATGAGCTTTCGGGTTTTGTGGCTTTTGTCAGATTTCAAGACGTGGGCCCGAGGGCCGTCTTGGAGCCGATTTCAAATATTTGAGGTATAACTTCATAATTTCTTGTGGAATTTATTCCTTTTGCCCTTATTGATTGTATTGCACTGCTTGTGGCTAGATTCGGGACATTTGGAGGCCGATTTGCGAGGCAAATGTTTGTTAGAGTATAGTTTTGCTCGGATTGAGGTAAGTAACATTTCTAAACTTTGTTCTAAGGGTTCCAAAACCCTAATTATGTGTTATGTGTTATGTTGTTGTTGCTGCTATCGTCGTTGGCTCGAGATGACGAGGTAGGGGGCCGATTTCTTCCGACTTGGGAAGATATTTGGATTCTACACTGCTGCTCACGAGAGTGTTCGGACTATACACCGTTGCTCACTCTCCTACCCCTGCCTGGTGTGGCACTTCATCCCTTTTGCTTTCCGTGGGGTGAAGCGGCACCTCTGGCTGGTAACTTGCACGGCACAATGTCCCAAGAAGTGGACTCAATGTAGCCGTGCAAGTAAGGCCTACGCTCGCCAAGTCTTCTACCGGGCCGTGATCTTCTTGGCCTGGTAGAAGCCTTTGCTCTTTGGCGGGCTATGGCATTTTCTCACCCCTTTCTGCTTCTCCGACTTTCCTCTTCTTCATCTTCTCCCTTGGAGATACCACTTTGGAAGATCGAGATAAGAACCCCGAGGGGATGGCGCTCGAAGATACTGCCATCGAGGACGTACCCCCGAGAATAGATTAGGTTCTGGGCTTTAGTTATATATGTATACCTTTTTGCTTCTTTGTTTCTGTGAAAGGATCCTTCGTGGGCTTTTGTAATCATATGTAAGGACCCCTTGTGGGCTTTGTAACCGTTGTTTATTAATGGAAAAGATGTTTCTTCAATTCGTCTCTGTTGTATGCTATATTTCCCTTTATCTATGCTTGTGAAGAATCTGAGTGCTTGACCCTACCGATTGGTGCAAATATCGAGCCGGGTGCGAGTGTTTCTTCCAACTTTGATTGATTAATATGATTCCTTGCGGAATCTTTTGCCGTTCCTTTGGCCGAGCCCGTATTGGACTGATAAACTCGGGTCACCGGGACCCTGACTTCGAGTTGAATGAGAATAGGGCTTCGAACCCTTAGACCGAGACGTAGCCTTTGGACCCTGCGATAATCTTTGAGGGGGGGTTTGCTCGGAAGCCCGAGAATAGAGACTGCCTTTAGGCTTTCGAGAGCAGTCCCCGAGTGGGGGTTTGCTCAAATCCGGGTCACCTAGAAACTCGTTTTGAACTTAGTGTAGATAGCCTCAAGGCGTTGTAGATAGATCTCGGATGAGGGTTTACCCAGGTTTAGATGGTACCCCGAGGCCAAACCCATATGAGTACAGTTTAAGCGCCTTTTTTTTTCTTCTTGAGAGAAGCCCTCGAGATCGGGTACAGTCTCGGGACTTGTAGTGATATTAATGGTTTACTTGGAGCCTGTCTTCTTTTTGTGGAGGTCCTCGAGGTCGGGTACCACCTCGGGACTTGCAATAATGCCAATGGCTTCTTGGAGCCTCACTTATTTTGATGGAGGTCCTCGAGGTCGGGTACCACCTCGGGACTTGCAATGATGCCAATGGCTTCTTGGAGCCTAACTTCTTTATTGATGGAGGTCCTCGAGGTCGGGTACCACCTCGGGACTTGCAATGATGCCAATGGCTTTTTGGAGCCTAACTTCTTTTGATGGAGGTCCTTGAGGTCGGGTACCACCTCGGGACTTGGTTGACGCGAGGTTTTCAACCTTGAAGCGTCGTATGGCGACGTCGAGTGTAGGATACGTCTACGAACTGACCGAGGCGATTCCTCCGGTGTACCTTTCCAAAGCGATAAAAGCTTTAGCCAACATTTTCAATCGGCCTTCGAGGCAGGCGAGTGGTCGCTGCTTTTTCCATATATAGGGTTGTCTTCGCCCCTTTGGAGATTCCGCTATTCTGAGCAGTTGTCCTCTTTCATAGTGTTTTCCTTTCATGCGCCAATTTTCCTTTAACTCAAAGCTTTCGCCCAAGTCTTCATTTACCTTTCCTTTTTCTTTTACTACAGCCATGGCTGCTATGCCCAAATCCGCTTGGCAAGGAGAAATGAGCTCCGCCTCTAGGCACTTTGCTTCGGGAGGGAATCTCCCGCCGGAAGAGACTCCCAGTGTTCGAGGTTATCGGGATTATGCCTCGCAGTTCATTTCTTTAATAGGAGAGGAGCATCTCGAATCAGTGAGGAGAGACTGTGGATGGGAGGAGAAGGTAGTATTGCGTGTATTGCCCCTGGGAGAGAGCGTTACGGATCATGCTGAGGGGTTTTTTAACGTGTATACGTACCCTTTCATGCTAGGCCCCCCTGATAGGGTTGTGCTTGATTTCTGTAGGAAATACCGAGTCACCTTGGCGCAGATTCGTCCGTCATTTTGGTGAATAGTATTGACGATGAGGTTCTTTGCGGAGAAGGCAGGGCTTGAATTCATGCTCAGTCATCTTATCAGGCTGTACCGACCTTTTCACCATCGAGGTCTGTTAACCTTACGATGCCGGTCGGGCACGCCTTTCGTTGTTGATGATGAAGAAGACGGAGATCGGGAGTTGATGAGTCGATTTGTCCGAGTACGGACTGTTGATATTATCCCCGTGGAGTTTATGGCATTCCATGAGGAATGGAATTATGCACGTAAGTGGTACACTCGTGCCTTCGCAATTTTTAAATTATTGGGAAGGAGTGTTCCGTAAATGTGCCTTCTTTCCCTCTTCTGCAGCAATTTCATGGGCACTGTGCGAGGTCCCTGATCTGCCAAGTTGGGCTCGGGAGTTGGCGGCCCATTCGACCTGCGTTGAGCGTAAGTAGCGAGCTTTGTTTAGGGGCAGATGCGAGGCAAAACATCATGGTATGTGCCGTGCGATTTGTTCCCTTCCCTTTTTTCAGTTGGAAAAGCACTTCTCTTTCTGC